TCCGACGACTCCACTCGTCTCGAGGACGCGTCTCGTTGTCCACGGAAGCACTTCGACGAATCGCCGTCCGGCAAAAAAAGGAAAATGTTCTTTGCCGGTCGTTCAATGCGGGCCAGCCGAGAGATAATTGAAAAAGGACAAAGAAAAGAAAGAAAAATGAGAAAGAGTAGAAGTATCTTGGCCCTGAATAGTGTCGAACTGCTCATTGGGACCAATCGAAGGAGGTGAAAGAGAAAGAGAGTGTGTGCGTGCGTGTGGCAGAGAGAAAGCAAAGAGCGATAGACACTTTTACCATTAAGCCGTACTAGCATTAATATTACAATCGGTTGTGACTGATTCGATGATTGTTTGCACCGTGACACATAGACACTTAAATTAATTGTTATTTCTCAGAGGTTGCACGAATGTCGCGGATGGACTAGCATCTAGAACACGCGCGGAGATTTCTAAACGAATTGTCGCCTTATGCGGGGTGGTCCGTCTCAAAATTTTTCATCCAGCTCGGTGGAATGCGGTGCGAAAAACCAAAGATTAACGCGACGATCATATTTTTTTATTTCAATAATTCATTTAATTTTAATTTAATTTAATAAACGTGCTAGTACTCATCAGGAATTATCGGAAATTGCGATCTACGATCCTTCAGCTCTCATTGGATTTATTTTTCTCTGAAGCTTTGAATTTTCGGATATTTCTGGATCTTGGAATTTTCTCTTTGGTCCTTCCTAAATTCTTCCATTTTCAAATTTTACTCGCCACTTTTTTGTTTCATATAAATTCTAATTGATTTTTCTGGATGTTCACATTCCCACGTTCTTCAGAATTTGCCTGAAGCTAATACTGGTGTCTTGTAAGTACATACCGCAAGTAAAATATCGCGTTTGCACCACCTGTCAAATTCTCAAACGTGATCGCGCGGCTAGAGATGATATCGCACCGTGTGCGAAAAGCCGCGTTGGATCGCTCGTCTCCGCCAGTTCGATCGGCCTTTGATCATATCATAAACAATTTGGTATGGGCTGACATTTATGTTAGAGTACAACATGTCTATGCAGCACCAGCGCAATCGCGCGCACGACGTCCGGAGGACAGAAAATCCTCCATTTTTTTTTCGGTGGCTTCGTAATTCGTAATTCAAAATTTTATTAAATATCCATTTGAAACGATTTTCGATGAATATCTTTCGAGAACGTTATTTCCGCCATTATTTGGCAAAATCCAAAGACGCTCAAGGAAACGAAATTTAACGAAAAATTAACCGAAGAAATAATTCCTTTGTGATTCAATGCAAATATGTATATCGCAGTTTTCTGCAGATACTTTAAATATACATACATTATATATTTTTTTCTCTCCCTAAGACGTCGCGTCTGAACGTGTCGCACTGATGCGGAAGCGTTCAGAAGGATAATTGGCCTCCCGATGGCGGCGGTGCGTGGCGCATGGCGCGGTTTAGATAATTAAAAGGATTAGAGAAAGAAATGGGCGGCCGAACGTCTCGCGGCGTCGCGACGCGGCCGGTCGCCAACCGTCACTTACTTTACTATTACACACGATTCCGAGGAACTTTTAATCATGTTTAACCTTTATCTCTGGATATTTGCAGAAATTTGTGGTTTGCTGAGTCTTGTCACGACTTTTTGAATGTGTGGAGCCCGATATGCATACATAGTCCACCGCTATATATGCATATATAAATATTATATATATTATACATAATCATCGTACCACTATACTCATTGTATAAATTACACATTCACCGCCCAAAGAAAAAAAAAAGAAGAGAAAGAAAGAGATAATAGAGACTCGTCTTCTCGGCTCGACTTGTGAAATCGCATCTCGTCATCGCCCGCGATGACGGACGGCGATGACGACGAGGACGATGACACGATGATAATGATGATGTTAAGACGGACCGCCGTTCTTATATCGCGAGTCCTTCGATTACTTGGGCTTGTTTTAACATCACTTTTTGGAGCAACCGTTATCCTTCTTACCTCCTGGCTTTATTTTAGCTCTGTTTTTTGTCGTTTTTCTGTTTTTTGAACACGGCCGAGCCTCGGGATCTATCGATTTGCAATTTAGATTGATCTTTAACCCGTTACCATCCAAAAGCTATATACATTCTTCAGATATTGCTGCAAAATAAATCCGATGTGAACGGTGAAGGTACAGTTTGAAAGTAGATTGGAATATAACGGGTTAATCTCAGCCATTGATGAAATGAAGTGAATGGATGGATTGTTGATGTTTTGGATAATTGCGGGACGTGGATGCAAACACGTGGATGCTAAAAAGCAAAGACATCAATGGGAATCCAAGTCCCAACTTTGCAGCTTTCAAGTTTGCGAGTTTCAAGTTCTTCTTGTATACTTTTGTATACTTAAAAGATACAAGAGTTTCTAAGTTGATTCAGATAATCAAGATTAAAGCTCTCGAGCGTCTCAAACAATAAAACTTTTAGCAATGAAAATTTAAATTGTAAACTTACGAATTTCCTTGCCCTCGTATGGATTTAAAGAGCGTCTGTTTGTTGCAAATATCCAAGATGTTAATAATTTATCTTGAAGATTGCACATACTTGAGTGGGTGTTTGTGTTGACGCCTTACTTGCGCGGATCCCTCAGGCTCGACCTCTTAGACGAATGTATTTGGCTTCTACCTTGATTGCGTAACGCTATTTGCTTTGAGATCGGTTTCGTATTAAATCTTAGTTCTAGAAGTAAAGGTTGCTCAAATGACGAATCATTGTTCGAGAATAACCGCCTGAATTTTCTGCGAGTGTATAGAGATTTAAACTTTGAGTAACGAAAATTCAGAAACTCTCTCACAGAACATTCAAATTTGTTAAAATTTTGAATTTTTTCTATTCTGGGAGATTTATTTACCGAATTATTCTCGAGTGCGATTCGTTTTAACTCCTTGATCGTGGATCCATTTGTATGTTAGCGATCTCGGATGGATCCTCGAGTGGGTATGGTCCAAGGTGATCAACCTCTCGAAAAGAAAAAGACATCTCAAAATGCACTTAATGAAATGCAGTTAAAAAAACTGAAATTATTCTAATCAGATCTCGGTTGATAAAGACCCTGGTTTTTTTTCTACCAATTTCTTTAATTTTATTTATATCAATAAATATCTGGTAAAAGCATGTTACATACTGCCGACCAAAAGTTCGAGACCATTAATTGAAAGTGTGTACTGAAATGAAATCAAATTTATGGATTATAATTTAACATATATTATTTTATTCATTGTTTTATAATAAAATGATAAAAAATGTTTAAAAGTTCTAACAAAATTTTTTTTTACAAGATGGAAAGAGTTAGACTTTTTTTTCAAAGTAGCTATTCTTACATTTAATTACTCTTTTACTGATCTAGATAATGTAGCTACAAGTTTACTAATTTTTTCTGACGAAAGATTCTTCCATCTTCTAAAACGGTCCACAGTTCAGTTTTGGAAAAAAGGCTTTATGACCGCAGTTCACTTTCAAATTAAGAAAAAAAATATTGAGTGGGGCATAAATCGGACTTTTAACTAGGGTGTCACTGGGATATTTTTAAATTTTGTATGCTCTCTTATTTGTGGTCTCTTTTAGCCGACAGTACATCGATTGTATTATAAATGCATTAAATCCGTCTCGTTTTTCATTTATAAAACCGGGTCACGCTATTTTTTTTCTCCCTTTTATAACATTCTCTTATAGATTTTTACTTGTATTTATATAAAAAAAAAATTTACAAGAATCTTTTACGTATGGAAACAAATTTCTAAGTAATTGGATGCCAAAATAATTGGAGCGTCAATGTTGTGGATAATTTCAAAGTAAACGCAGAGCGACCGAGTCGATGAGCCCTTCGGGATGAGAGGAGTGGTTGGTCACCTTGTAAATGTTTTATTTTTTTTTTTTTTTTTTTTTTTTTTTTATAAAGAAGCCCGTCTGCGCCCCGGCAGTTTACCTAACGCCGGGCAGAATGAAGCTCCAAGGAAGGCCCGGGCGCGACAGGCGGGCGTGATATCTTCGATCATTTCTTTTCACCATTATTTAGTGACTAACATTGTTTGAGCTTTGAATAGTATCTTGATCAAAACGGTGTATGTCATGTGTAAGATATACTTGGGTGTGGGAGTACCACTCTGGGGATCGATGGCGCGTTTGGACGATCTAGCCCTCCAATGTAGCAGGATTATTCCTCGGACATGCTCCTTGAAAAAATTATCTCGACGCTATTCACTCTGAAAGAAGTATTTCAAATTAACGACATCGAAGTGGTTGTACTAATAACTGTGAAAGTGGTGTCCAAATAATCGTCTGGCAATCAGTTTTCTGAATCGAAACGATTCTCAAAACCGCCAACTCTTTTTAAATTATTTGCTGGTTATCACAAATAATATCGCCTAGTCGAACATATATGTATATCTTGACGTCTAAAAGCTAAATTGTTAAACTGATTTCGGCCTTTGGCGATTTGTCCTGGAACGTGAATAGCTGAAAGTTCAATATTCGCTAATATCGCTTCAAGCAGACGGTTGAAAAGGCTGAAGATCGAGCTAAAGATGAGAATAAGAAGAAAAATTCTAGCGAATCTGTTTGGACCGCTTAAAATTTAGTTGAATCTGTTTGGACCGCTTCGAGGTCGCTTCGAGTCGAGTCGCTGATTTCGAGATGCCGAAATGGTGAGAATCGGACGCTGAGAATACCAGTCCAGGAGAATACCGCAACGGAGGGGAGGAGGATCCAATCGCGCCACCGATCTCGACGACGCGCTCTACGCGTGCTCGACGCGGACGGGGTTTATACGATCTGCCAAGATCACGCGCGGATTCCAATTCTTCGGTGCCGCGTCGGGACGCGGACGGGGTGCGCCGGCACTCGTCCTTTCTGGCAGTGTGGTACCACGTACCATGTTGGCTTAGATCGAACACACACTCACACACGCCATTCGCGACCTGCGAAATTCAGGTGGAGCTGCATTACGCATTGCCTTATGTTACAGCGTATCCGGTGGCACCGCATCCACCGACTGGCTTTGTCCCCGCGCCGACGCAACCCCCGACCTACGGTGGTAAGAACAAAACCTTTGCACACTTCTCTTTCTTAAGGACGTTCTCTCGTCTTTATA